CAACAGTCAGGACCCGTTCCCCGACCCGAAGGCGCAAGGAAGCTACCCTCTTGTCCCCCGGGGTAAACCCCAACACACAGGCAGAGAGTCTCGGGGCTAACAAAAAGCCAACCCCAGCCCTCCGCCTCTCACCCGGAGCAACTCCAGCAAAGTAGAGTGTCCAACCCCTCTCCAGGTCTCGGGTTCCAGAGCCAATGCAATGTGTCGAGGTGAGTCCGACTATATCTAGCCGGTACCGCTCAACCTCTGCCATAAGCTCCGGCTCCTTCCCCGCCAGCGAGGTGACGTTCCATGTCCCAAAAACTAGTTTCCTTGTCCGGGGATTGGACCGCCAAGGCTCCCGCCTTGGTCTGCCACCCGATTCACATTGCACCGGACCCTTCATGTTCCTCCTGCGGGTGGTGGGTCCACAGTTGGACGAGCCCATGTATCCGGTTCGGGCTGGGCCCGGCCGGGCCCCATGGGCGAAAGCCCGGCCACCAGGCGCTCGCTCACGGGCCCCAACCCCAGGCCTGGCTCCAGGGTGGGGCACCGGTAACCCTCCGGGCCGGGTACTCCGACTCTTCTTTTTCACCGCCATGAAAGATCCTTCGAACGCAGAACGTGTTTCTGGTATTAGGCGGTGACGTCATCCCAATGCTTCCGTGTGCAAAGCATCATGGGAAATGAAATTTCTTGGCGCTGATGTGATTATTTGCTTTTCAGAGCAATTTAAGCACAGTCATTTTGGAGAAAATCACTGCATAGTAATTTCCTCATGAGGTCAGACCCTCAACAACAGTTTTACAATCTGGATTAGGAAATCTAAGAATAAGATGTTCGAACGAACTGTAGCTATTAATTGGTAAGGGACTGATTAATAAGTCCGAATGAAAAATGGTTGCCACTCCTCCTCCGCTCCCTGTACTTCGAGCAAATGATGATTTAAATAATTTGAAGGAGTCGACTCGTTTAAGTTATCATAGTCCTCTTGCTGCAGCCAGGATTCTGTGAGAGAGAGCAAAGAGATCTGATTATCACAAATCAAGTCATTAACTAACAAAGTCTTAGAAAAAATGGATCTAATGTTCAACAACCCACATTTAATTTTTCTAGTTTTCTGCTCAGTTGAATTTGTTCTAATATTTATGAGATTTCCATGATTTGCTTTATTAAGCCTGATATTTAATCTGTGTGGTTTTGGCCGTGGGCAGGACACTGTCTCTATGGGGTAGTGGGTGGGTAACAGTACAGAAGCTGCAGAGGGGTGGGTTAAACTACGACTCTGCTTCCTGGTCTGGACCCTGGGTTGTCATGGAGGACTAATAAAACTGGCCATGTTCCTAGAAAGAAGAGCTGCACCATCCAAAGAGGGATGGATGCCGTCTCTCCGCATCAGACCAGGTTTTCCCCAAAAAGTTTTCCAATTATCAATGTAGCCCACGTTGTTTTCAGGACACCACCTAGACAACCAGCGGTTGAAGGACAGCTTGCGGCTAAACATGTCGTCACTGGTCCGATCAGGCAGGGGGCCAGAGAAAATTACGGAGTCCGACATTGTTTTGGCAAACTTACACACCGAAGCAACATTAATTTTAGTGAGTAAAGTTATATTTAATACGTACAAGTTTCAATATAGATTTATAAAGAGCCATTTACTTTTTTAATTGTGTATTGGTTAAATCAAATATGTAACTGAGTTACTACCTGCTAGCCACTGAAGCTGCAACTACTAAACTAACCAACCATAGATAACTGATTTGGATCTAGAAAACATTTCAGATATCAGCCCAATGGCTACAGTTAGTTAACTTACATTTAAATTGGAAATTTGCCCCGAAGTAGCTGCTGGCTCCTGATCCGCCATGCTTTTAAAAACACCACGCTGTCTTCTGGGAAATGTTTTGACCAAGGCCAGGCTACATGGACATCTCCAGTGTTTCCTTGCCCAGCTAGCTAAATGGTTGACGAATGGAGAACACACGCCTCAGTAGCACTTGAACATCGGAACACCTCTTGGCGGTTCCTGATGTATCTCCTAGGCAACTGTGGCGGGACCAAGCGAAGGCGAGGTTCTTTGACATTGAGAACCACCCAGTGTGAGTTCTTTTAACATCATGTTTATGGAGCACAACTGTGTATAATCCTCGTTCCCATGAAGTTTTTAACAAATAAGTTTTATCAACGAAGTATTCAATTTTGACATGACTATTTCAAAAGGTTGAAGCGTGGAAATGTTAGAGACAAAGGTAAACTGTAAAACTTCAGTAGGACCAAAGTTTATGGTGGGAGCTAATTCACTCATCAGATTTGTATATTATAATGTAAACAGGCTGCCATATTGGAATGCATCATTTTTACAGATATCTTATTTTTACATGTTATTTAGAAATTTCCATTATATTTAGAAATATTTTATTTATATATACATATATGAAGCTCTTTTGAAATTTTTATTTAATATTTACATTTTAATTATGATGATTTTGTGGCACACTTTGACTTATGACTTTTCTTTACATTGCCACTACATCTGTCATATTAGCAGTGTTTTTACCATCATTTCTGCATCCATCATGTCCCAAAGATGGTGAAACAAACGTCAAACCCAATGTTTGGACTTACAAGCGTAAGTGTAGCACCAGCTGTCTGATGCTGCGAGCTGCAGCAGCGTCAATCTTTCTGGCTGGATGAGTGAATTTCACCATCAGAGAGTCAATATTCTGCTTCATTATTGGAGTCAGTCATGACCAGACAAAGAGATCAGTCAACAAAGGCCAGACCTGCTGGGAGTTGTAAGTGTTATCCCTCTAATGTCTGCAGTGGCGGATTTAGCAATTTGGGGGCCCAAGGCAAACACAGACATGGGGCCCCCTTACACTAAATTTTTGACAATCTTATCTTTAACTGGATTTGCGAAACTCTCCCCTCTTCTGATGAGTTATTTTCACCTTTTATTAGTCCTCCTCTTTTTTCCTGTCTTTCTCTCCCTTTGAGTGACTTCTTCTTCCTGTCAGTACTCCTGTGATTTTGCCTTTCTTTTTTTCTTCTATTTTTCATTGTGGTCTATGTTTTCCTCCCTTTAAACATTTTCCACTGTCTTTCACTTTCTCCTTTTTTTTATGTTTACATTGAAAAACGACGTCACTTTCGGAAGTGAAGATAAAAGCTTTTTAAAAGCAAGCTACTTCTTTCTCTTATTGGAGTCACTAGGATAACTCTGTTTCATGCTTCATGTTTTGACTACCGCTTCGAGTTTGTTACGAACGCTCCCACCTCTGTTCTTCTTTTTTTGCTTTCTTCTTCTTATTATTTGTGGTCTTAAGGCACTTGGCAAACAGCAATTTATTGCATCACTGCCACCAACTGGATTGGACTGGAATGACTAGGGATGGGTACCTTTGACATTTCAATTGATCCGGTACTAATTCCCGGTACCTACGAATCGATACCGGTACTTAACGATACCAATTTTCGATACTTTTTAGTGTTTATTATTTTAATTCTCTTTTATAATTAGATATATATTTTTCTCAATAAATAACAATATTTGATAAATATCACAATAAATAACATTCAACTGTTTGTATTTTAACATTGTCCTTGTAGTTTTATAAGCTGATAATTAAACTGAAGCAAACATCTTTACTGTGAACTAAATTTACTGTGTATCTTCATTCCTTTTGCCGTCTTTTTTCATTTGATTTTTCCTACTGGGAAGTTAGAATTTCCGAGGAGAAAGCGAATGCACCATTAGCTGATAACAATGGTAGCAATGGAAGATAACATACCAAGCTAATGTTATCTTAAACAGTTTATTTAGCTGCTGGAGCAGATTAAAACGATGTTGCCTCACACTTAGATCGTTGTCACTGGTTTCGTCTTCACCCAATCACCCGTCGCATTTAGTAAAGTGGAGCCAAACTTAAGAGCGCGTTCATGTTCTTCTAGTCAGGAATTCGGAGTTCCGAGGAGAAAGCGAACGCACCATTAGCGAAACGGAAGCTAACATATCAAGCTAATTATATTTAACTACCAGAGCAGATTAAGATGAGGATATCTCACTTAGATCGTTGTCGCTGGTTTCATCATCACCCAGTTACCCATCACATTTAGTGAAGTGGACCCAAGCTTTAGCGTGCGTTCTTTCCACCATGCTGCTCTGTTTACAACTGGTTCGCAGTGAGCGACGACATAACGCTCTTGCGCATACGCAGCTGTCTTGGCAAGTTCTCGTTATGATGGACGGGTACCGAAACGAGGCACCGTTTGAAATGACGTGAATCGGTGCTGGGTCGGTACTATGGAATTCGGTCGGTACCTTAAAAAGTACCGAATTCGGTACCCATCCCTAGGAATGACTTCCAATCACTTACTGTTTATGCATCGGCATCTTAAAGGAATAGTCCACTGTGGCATTAACAGAGGGGTGCTGGCGGTCGGGGCTAGGGGGCCCCCCAACATAAGGGGGCCCCAGGCGGCTGCCGACCTATGCCTAATGGTAAAACTGCCACTGAATGTCTGCCCTCTTTGTGCTGCGTTCACCTCCTCTCCCCGACCGGGAGCCTCTCGGTGGGAGGCATTTTTCAAACTGCAAAAACAGCAAAACTTTCAGTATAAACACACCCATAAGTGTTGCTCAGCCTGAAGCTACACATCTCCACTATCTTCTGGTGTAAAGTAGTAACTTCATGAGGGATCATACTTGTGGCTGTGGCTCTTTAAAGTCAGCAATGACGCTTGTCTCAATATTGAGACTTTGGCGCTTAAAGGGTTAACAGTGTTTGTGAAACAGGACAAACTAAGAGCTGTGTAGATAAGTTGTCTCCCTGCTCTGCCTGATTGTGTGGCACTTTGGTTCATTTTTTCTTTAATTACTATAAATAGATATATTATCGTTTCCAACTGTTATGTTGGGCATCATTAAAGCATTCATCTTATCCAATCCTAAACAATCTAATCTTTCTCACATCACCAAAATCCCAGCTTTAGGTGTTATCAAAGGGTTTCTTTTGTCTCAGGTTTAGGATGCGCCAGGTAAACATTGTGGGTACCAGTCCTCCCAGTCAGCCCTCCAGGAAGATCCAGACCCTCCAAGCCCCTCCGGACATCTCCCCTGCGAATGTTACCCTGCGCACAGCCAGTGAGACTAGCCTGTGGCTTCGCTGGGTGGTAAGACGTCACTCTACATTTCATACGGGTCCTGATACCAACAGCATGAAGCCCGCTAAGTTAAATTGGATTCTGATGGACTTTATTCGTGATTTATGCAGGGAAGACGTCTTTGTATTCAGATAAGCTGTATTAAATGGCTTATTTTTCTTTGAATGCCTCTCTTGTGTACATTCATTTGAGTAATGATGGAAGAAAAGAAATTGGCTAAATGTCCTTGGGTTGTAAGATTAGCTTTGTAAAAATTTGATTTAAGTGATTAGGTATTATAAAGTTTGACATTCAACGACTTTGTCATTTCTTCTGTAAATTTGCTTTCCTGCTCTCGGGACTTTTTAATATAACAAATGAATGCATGTGATTGTACTGAGGAGAGTTTGGAAAGCTGGACAGACGGTGTCCTTGCTGCTTCCTGCATTAGCATTCGGCTGTTTTCTTTGCAACATCTGTCTGTTATTACCGCGGCAGTGCCTAAGAGGTGAGCCACGGTGACTTGTCATATCACTGCAGACCCTGCATGATAAAAAAAGAGAATATATTTGAATATAAAAACAGAAGGGTGTCAGCAGCGCAGTATTGCTCTACAGATTGATGACAAAGCTCAATGATTGTGGCTGTCCTAAAGCTGCCAATTCCACCTTAACTTGAGTAGCATGAGCATTTAGATGAAACATTCCTAATACACTTCAGTAAAGTTGTGTTAGCACAGTTTACCTGTGGCAACTGTTATCTGTTCAGCCTCTCATGGGTAATTGCTTCATTATGCGCTCATAGCAGTATATTCTAATTTATGTGGACTTCATTTAAATGTTTGAAGTAAAACAGCAAAATAAAAATAAAAAAACTTGTTAGCCTCTTCCAGAGTGGGAGTACAATGGCAATCCAGATCTCGTAGGCTACCGCATCCAGTACTCGAAAGCAGGCTCTAAAGGCAGCGTTCTATCCCACGTCATCATGGACCGGCTGGAGAGAGAGTTTACTGTAGAAGACTTGGAAGAGTGGACGGAGTATGAGGTCAGAGTTCAGGCCATCAATGGAATTGGGTCTGGACCTTGGAGCCTGGCAGTCCACGGCAGGACCAGGGAGTCTGGTGAGGATGAAAACATGTATACATGACACATGTCGCTGAACCATTCTGATCAAAGATGACTCACGTCCTGCTGTAGTTCCTTCCAGTGGTCCCACCAATGTGTCAGCCTTTGCCACCACCTCCAGCAGCATCCTTGTGCGGTGGGGTGAGGTCCAAGAAGCAGACAGAAATGGACTCATCCTTGGCTATAAGGTCACAGCCCAAAATGGTTCATGTCACTTAACTATAAATGTGATACTTACCATTTTCACTAAGGTCCTGTGAATTGTTCAGGTTGTGTATAAGGAGAAGGACTCTGACACGACACCTAACTTCTGGGCCGTAGAGGGCAACAACACCCACAGTGTCCAGCTAAGTGGTCTGGGGAAGTATGTCCTCTATGAGATCCAGGTCTTGGCCTTCACTCGGATAGGAGACGGAAGAAGCAGCTCTCCTCACATTCTAGAAAGAACCTTGGACGATGGTAGATTTTTATTTTACTAACTATGTCAGTTCTTGACTTCCATTTGGAGCTTTTCATTGTCATTTTCTCACATATTTGGGACGAAGAGTTTGATTGATTCCTGTTTAAAAATGAATGTTGCAATTTTTTTCATTCAATTTATAATTTTGTCCTTGGTGAGTCTTAAGCACTTGTTTTGCCTTTCCCCATGTGACAGTACCAGGTCCTCCTGTCGGCATCCTGTTCCCAGAAGTCAGAACCACATCAGTCAGGCTCATCTGGCAACCTCCTGCACAGCCCAATGGCATCATACTGGGTGAGATTATGTTTTGAGATCAAGGCGAGACCAAGGAGATTTATTTGTATCACACATTGTAAAAGCAAGAGAATTTTAAAGCATAATGCATAAAAGGCATTAAGAAAACGACAGAAACTAAAGCGGAAGGCACACTGATGGAAAACCAAAAGCAGGATGAAAATAAGCTCTATAGAATTAGACGAAGGAGAGCATAAGTTGAAATCTTTTCAGCATAAACAGAATTTAAAGTAAGGAGGAAAATCTCATTTTATTTAATGTGAAAGCGAAACATTTATCCATGCGCTAAAATTTGACATTTCTGCATGTAAATGCTTTGATCCTCGCAGCTTATCAGATCACGTACAGAAGGAACTCTTCAAGCAGCAACGCTGCCACGGTAGACGTGTTGAGCCCTAGCGCGCGACAGTACACAGCAACTGGACTGAAACCAGAAACGGTTTATGTGTTCCGTCTCACGGCTCAAACGCGAAAAGGTTGGGGTGAGGCTGCTGAGGCTCTGGTGGTCACAACAGAAAAGAGAGGTGAGTGTAAAAATGTTTCCACTCTTATTTAAATCATCCACCTTGGAATATAACGCCTGAGAGGGGCCGCGGGGTTTGTGCCTTCAGCTCGACCCCAACCCACGAGTCGTCCCACGGTGCCTCAAGAAGAAGTCCAGGCTCGCAGAGTGCTGTTGTCATGGGAACCAGGGAGCGACGGCCTGTCGCCAGTTCGCTACTACACGGTTCAGTACAAAGAGCTGCCCGACAGCAACTGGACTGTCCACTCAGCATCTGTCAGCCATGAAACAAGCTCCCACATAGTGGACAGGTTGACTTTATTTGTTGTTTATGTCAAGTTTCAATTGTTTGCATATTTTATCCATTTGAGGTATGACTGCTGCAGAAACAGATCGAATGTTTCTGTAGTTTTAGTTATTTAATGAAAATAAATAAGCCTAACATCTGGTTTGCTAAATGTTTGACCAGAACAAAAGAGCAGGATTCACTCACACAGACCTTTCTCTCCAAAGGCTGAAGCCGTTCACTTCTTACCAGTTCCGTGTTAAAGCCACCAATGACATTGGTGACAGCAGATACAGTGAGGAGAGTGAGGCTATCACTACGCTGCAGGATGGTGAGACATGAACACAAACACCACATCCCAGAGCGTTCCCAGTTTTCCTTAAACGTGCATGAGTATGGCTCTATATTCGTGCTTAGATTTGGCACTGAACACTTCACAGTGTGCTCTCAAGCTGTTCTCTAGCAGACTGTTTGGATTGCATCAGTTCCTTCGGCGGTGTTGATATGCTAACATTTTATCTGAATCTTCTCCAGCTCCAGACAAAGCTCCAACAATACTGTCAGTTACCCCTCACACCACCACATCTGTGCTGGTCCGCTGGCAGGTATATCGCTGAGAGGCTCCTTCTCCTTTACTTCACTAAGAACAAAAGATTGATGTTGAATTTATTGATGTACGATAGTTGACGTTTGCCTGATCCCATCTCTCCAGCCTCCCTCGGAGGATCACATAAACGGAGTTTTGTTGGGGTTCAGGGTCAGGTACCGGGAGCTACACTACGACAGACTGCGCAGCTTCTCTGTCCGAACTGTCAACAGTCCCTCTGCAAACTGGGCAGATTTGACTGGTGAGTTGCTAATCTGTCACTAAAGACCACACGTCAAAATGTGCAGTTCCAGTCTGCCTTTTGGTGGTGAATGAAACTGGCTAAAACCTGAAGTCTCCTGATAGAAAACAGAGAGGCTAGAACCATGCATCCCCATCCAGAGGTCTAAAGCCCAGATAGACGTTAAGAGTTTATAGTTTTAATGGTTTTTCCAACATCGTCATTTACAGATTGGAATGTTTCAATTCAAAGATACTTTATTAATCCCAGAGGGAAAATGTTCAACTAAGTTAGTGTGTTTTGTGTTTTTATTCACCGGCTCTGTCTCTTGCTGCCGCACGGCGTAACGTTCTCCTAAACTCGCCTCCGAGTGCACACACAAGCTTTCATGCTGCATTTCCCTGAGGAGCCTTCTCAAGGGATTAATGAAGTCGTTCTGAATCTGAATAGTTCTGCTTATGTTGTTGGTGAAAATAATGTATTTGAAGCTGAAAATGGAGGCCGTTTTTACCTCCTCATATCTCCTACATAAAACGCCACCGAATAAAAATCAGAGCCCTCCGCGCCTCGTTGTTCAAAGTTGTATTTTCACCTTTTACACAGCAACTCTTTATCTGAAGCACAATTTTAGTCTGTTTTCCTGTCTGTCCCTGTTTGCTGTCAAGGAATAAAGGCACAGGTGTGCGGTTCCCATGGTGACCCTAATGAACCATTGACAGCAGCATTAGCCTTCCTCTTGATCTTGGTTGTCTTTACACTTTTTATATTGATTTGACATCAACGTGGAGGCATTTTGTCTCACCGTAGATTGTTGTACAGTTGTTAGGCATACAGGCACTAGCTGCATTATAAAAATCTGAGAAATATTAAACATGAGAGCTTTTCCCAAATTCCTTTAACTGTTTTCTATCCATCTGCAGCTCCTTACAGCATCAGAAACTTGAGTGAATCTTCTCTAACCCAGTATGAGTTAGACAGTAAGTTGTGCATTTTTGATTTACCCTTCTTCCTCTATTCTCCACCTGTTTGCTATATTTCATCTTCCCAAAGTAGGACACTTGTAAAATGTTTCCAGCCAGTGTTGTGAGCTCCAGCCTCCCACTCAACGGCAGCCACTGCATATTCTTTTTGTGTCTTCATGACTTGAATCTCTCCACGCCACCCTGCCATTTTTCCACCATGCTTTCCTTCTTTTTAATCACTGACAAATCTTCCCACATCTTCCCAGAATGACCCGGTCTTTTCATCAGTTTGCAGTTTTGTTCAAAACCCGTTTGGGTTTTTCTTCTTTCAGAGTGTGATGTTGCCTTGCCACGGGCATCTTTGTGTCTTTTCAGAATATCTTATTTTGTGTCTTAACGTTTTCATTACAATGCTGCAGTGTCTTCTCTCCTTGCAGACTTGAGTAAACACAAGCGCTACGAGATCCGTCTTAGTGTATATAACGCTGTGGGGGAGGGCCCAAGCAGCACCCCACAGGAGGTGTTTGTCGGAGAGGCAGGTGTGCCACTGTTTCATGTGTATTAGCCTTTTCTTTCCAAAGTGCTTATCGAATAAAACCTTTTCACCAGGAATTTTGTTTTTAAATGTTTAAATGATGCTTTATTTTCCTAGTCCCAACAGCCGCTCCTCAAAGCGTGGTGGTGCAGTCTTCAACGGCCACTCAGCTGGACGTTACGTGGGACCCTCCTCCTCCAGACGCTCAGAATGGAGACATACAGGGTTACAAGGTACGGGTCGTTTTTAAGCGATGAGCTAAACGTGCACGCAGTTCTTTACACTTGTTTCTTTTAAGAAGATGGTGAAGAAATTCTGCATCTAGCTCTTTTTAATTACAGATCTACTTCTGGGAGTTTCAGCTCCAAAATGAAACGGAGCGTGTGCGAACTCTGTTCCTGCCAGAGCTGGGGGTGAAGCTTAAAAACCTGACAGGCTACACCACCTATATGATCAGCGTGGCAGCTTTCAATGCTGCAGGGGACGGGCCCCGCTCCCTTCCCACCAGAGGGCGCACTCAGCAAGCAGGTGCATAATCCAGATGTTGATAAGATCCTTCAAAAACACTGCAGGCATTTATTTTGCATTTAAAAAAACTGTTTTCTTGCACCGTGTGGCACTTCAGAGCTTCACACTCCTATAATCCCTGGCTAACTTTGCACAGGTTGCTTTTTGCTTTCACTTGTCAGAGGTACTTTATTGTATGATTTACGAATTGAGTTTCTAGGTGTTTGAGGTGAGTAGTGGATGTAGATTATCCGGTCACAAAAATATCCACAAAGAGAATAATTTAGTTACCGTAGGACTTCAAACTGGGCTGCTTCTCGGATTCAACGAGAAGTGTCTTTTTTAAGGGACTGAGCTTCTTTCCTTGAGATAAGGCATGAGAGATCAGAGACTGTTGGGTGCCTCCCTCAGTCCAAGCCATGCAAGGCTAATGACAGCTGGGGAAATACAAAATGCGAGGGACAAATATGGATGAGTTGTTTATTGGCCACAGTCTGTGTTCAGGAGCTGCAGAGACTTTCTCCTCTGTGACTTCAGGATAAAAATAGTTTACAGAGTGAATATCTATTTGTTTATGCTCCCTTGAAGGCTATGACATTGGTGAAGGGTACAAAGTGCTGAGAACTTAAAAACACAAGCAGGAATTTTGGCTCTTTGCTCAACAGAATACTGGGAAGTTAGCCAACACAAGCTTTTGTGATCTTCTTTTATATGCAGGGTTGAGGCTAAATCCTGACACTGAGTTTGGTCAGCAGACAGAATTCAGACAGCTCTTCTCGAAGGTCACAAAGTGATTTTGCAAACTTATGTGCAGGTTTTCCAGCAGCAGCCAATCTCCCGCACAGCATTTCAGTCCATTTTCTAATCAAACCTGTGTGTGTGTGTGTGTGTGTGCGTGTGCGCGCGTGTGTGTGTGTGTGTGTGCGCGTGTGTGTGTGTGTGTGTGTGTGTGTGTGTGTGTGTGTGTGCGTGTGTGTGTGTGTTGATGTTTTCTTATGATTTTTTGTTTCAAGAACATCTCTCACATCAATCTAAATCTAAATCAGTCCCACTTTACTTTGATAAATTGTTTTAACTCATCCAAACTTGGTGGTTTTCTAGCGTGAACGGGCTGTTTAGGGTCAAAGTATAAACATTATTCTTTAGGAACTTCTGCCAGAGAGCAGAGTTAATGGTTCCATCAATTACAGCAAGTGCTCCATGTCCTGAAGCAGCAAAGCAACCCCAGACTATCAGCCTACCGCCACCATGCCTAGCTGTTGGTGTGATAATCAGGTTTTGAATGAACTGCAGGTTCAGTTGTGTATCCCAAAAGTCTTTTGGGGAATCACCAACATTTTCAGAAATGTTGGTGATTCTGTTGTCTTAGTGTTTGGGATCTGAGAGATCCGACTATCATCACATCTCCCTGTGTTTTCTCTACTAAAAGCACCAAGTGCTCCGAGCTGCATCCACTTTAGTGAGCTGACCACCACTTCAGTCAACGTGTCCTGGGGAGAGCCCAAACAGGCAAACGGAATCATCGAAGGCTACCGCCTGGTTTACGAGCCCTGCACTCCAGTGGATGGTGAGGAACTCTGCTGCAGCCTAACACCTCTCCTGTTTCTTGACATTGCTCAGGCAGGGATTTACTGCCTGGATTTACTCCAACCTCTTAACCATATTATTGTTCAACTCCTGCTGCTTAGACTTGTGTTGTAATTTGTTACAGATGGGCACTGGCCCTGTAGTAACATACACGGCAGGGCTGATGAATTATGCTGGAATGCTCTGGTGAGATTTTCACAGCTTCCACTGAAACACGGTCAGTAGTGGGCTAAGTGTTGCTGCCTTGACCAGACCACACTGTCTAGAAACTGAGAGCAGATGAGGAATGCTGAACTGGTGCTGCTGTGGTCCCTGAGCTGACAGACTCGGAGCAAACCAACCCAAGCACAGCAATAAACATAAGCATCAGTCATGGTATTCCTGTCCTAACAGCTCTAAGCTACTGGCATCCAAAACATATTTTCTGCTTTCTCATGCCTCTAGTTACTTGTTTGGTCTTGTGTGTTACCATTTCTGCTCTTGGGCCCAGAGTGTGGCTTCCTGTCAGTTGTAGAAAGCAGTATCTAGAGTCTTAGTGTTTCTTGTACAGACTCCTCTCCTCGCACTCCAGGTGTCAGTAAGATAGTGACTGTAGATGTGAAGGGCAGTGCTCCTTTGTGGATGAAGATCAAAGACCTGGCTGATGGCGTCACTTATAGCTTTCGCATTCGGGCGAAAACACTCACTTATGGTCCTGAGATTGAGGCCAACATCACCACAGGGCCTGGAGAAGGTACGCGCCTCTCAAACTGGTGTGCTGATCTTAATCCTTTATATCACGTCGGTGGCACCTTTCTCACATATTTTTTTTTCTTTTCACTATTCCTGTCTCCCCAGGAGCCCCAGGCCCTCCTGGAGAGCCCTTTATTTCACGACACGGCGGCGCCCTCACTCTACACTGGACAAGTGGGGATCATGGCCGTGCCCCCATTACAAGATACGTGATTGAGGCCAGACCTTCTGGTGAGATTTTTTGTTTACAAATCTTGAATTTTCGGTCTATTATGGACTTTTTGAGTGAACTTTTCCCATTTTGGCCTCACAGATGAAGGATTATGGGACATTCTTGTTAAAGACATTCCCAAAGAAGTGACGTCCTACACGCTTAATCTGGACATGCTACGAGAAGGGGTCACGTATGACTTTCGAGTGATTGCTGTCAACGATTATGGCTATGGGTCCCCCAGTGCCCCGTCTCCCTCCATATCAGGTAATTGTACTCTAAAGTAAAGATCCTGTATAACCTTCAACCAATTTTAGAAAGTTTTTTGGTTTGTTTGTTTTCAGCTCAGAAAATGTCTCCTTTTTATGAGGAGTGGTGGTTCTTGGTTGTCATTGCTTTGGTTGGCCTCATCTTCATCCTCCTGCTGATTTTTATCCTCATCATTCGAGGCCAGAGTAAAAAATACACCAAAAAAGCCGACTCAGGTAGGAGAACTGTGTGACTTCTGCATGTTGTAAGTCAGACTTTCTGCAATTTATGATGCTGAATTGAAGTAGTTGGACAAATGTGCAGAGAAGTGAATTTGAACGGCTGTGAATGTGGAGGCCATTTTATGGTGAGGGAGTGTGAAGACACACACAATTAAACAAATTGTCTAGATTTCCCAACATTGTGGCTGACAGAGAAAAGATGAGAGTAAAGGTAATTGCCTAGGGAGCTGAAGTAGACAAATATTATTGTCCAGCTCAAGCTGCTGTGAGGATCAATAGCAGGATGAATAGCTTGGCAGAAACTTTAATGCTGGGGTCATTAATTAGATTGATAGTAATTATATAACTACAGCACAAGTGACTCCCATTGTATTAAAGAGCGAATGTGCAAGACTGTCAATTACCCCAGTAGGAACCACTTCTCCCAGAAACCCATGTTTCACATTAGAGGACATTTATCTGCGTTGGAGGACTTTTTATCCACATTGTTAATCAGTAATGGCCTGTCAGGAATAATATCATGTCTATGGGGCTAATTTCTTGGCATATTCTTGTCATCTAGCAGCTTTAGATTTGTAATGGAAATGGAGCAGTGAGACGGAAAAGAGCAAGTTAAAAGGAGTTTTTAGTGTAGCCATCAAAGCACCAGGGAACGTCAAATAAAACTTCCCTTTTGTTGTTAAACGTGTCTTTATGAACAATTGGATGCATTCTTATTTAAGATGTTGATTGTTATTTTTATTCTGTTTGAGATTGAACATTTAAATTTGGAGACTAAAGAAAACATTCATTTCATTCTACAACAGACATGTTGTCGTTCTCCTGCCCAGGAAACCACTCCAACTGCACCGCTCTTCCACTGACCCATGGAGAAATGGTCCGGCTGGATGAGGGACGTTTCCCAGCCCTTGAGCTTAACAACCGGCGCCTGTCTGGGAAGAATTCCTTCTGTCGTAAAAATGGCATCTACACTCGGTGAGTTACCTCAGGTGGGGTTCGGCGAGCATGAACTTCCCAGCTGATTAGGATTCGAGAGCAACTTCCTTTGCTGTTTGTCGGTTCATCTGCTGATTGGTTCATCATCATCTGATTATGGGTCAGAGCTGATTAGTCTTTGACCTTTAGCCTCATATGCAGAGCGGTGAAATACATCATAACATGAAGAATGGTCTGCAAGGTTTTGTGGGCTGGTTCTTTGCTGATGTTGGGGTAAACGCTCCAGCATGAGAAACTCCTGCAGACACAAAGGTCCTGTCCAGACTCATGTTAGGATGTTTATACTGCAGTTGAACCCTCCCACTGTCCTAATGGGTTTGACTCCACGAGGAAAGTTGACCGTTGAGCAGGGTTGATGGTTTATCCCTTGGGTCCATGTGGCAGGGGTGAGGTGGTGTTCACTCCTCACCCCTGCCACGTGGACCTCAAGGGATCATCAATCCTGCTCAGTGGTCAACTTTCCTTGCGGGGTCACCCATAGAGACAGTGGGAGGGTTAATGAACGTGTTGCCGTCACCAGAAAGGAATATGTCTTCATCCACATTAGGTGTTCAAAGATGTGGGCTGATTTAGTTTCTTACTGGCCAAAGGGGCCAGGAAAAGGATCAAAGGCCCTTGAGAAGCTGCTCTCTTTGAAGAAGTCAAATGTGGTCCCTTACTGTTTTCTAATGAAGGGGAAGGTGTGCACGTTCTTCCTGTTGGATGCTTTAAGGGAGGAAGGAAAAATGGATGAATTAGACAGATCTGGCAAATGGGAAAATACAGCACTCATAAATAATTCAGTAGGATCCATGTCCCCTCCTCCCCTCCACTCACGTCCACCCTCTTCACATCACTGCCTTTAACCTAAAGGAGACGGGTGTTTGTTGTGTCAACCGTTTCATGGTCGTTGTGGGGTTGTGTCTTCCAAGCTCTCTCCTGACACTTGCAGTAATTTAACTCCTGCATGCGTGTCTCAGCTCTTATTAAATTTTATTTCAGAAGTTGTCAAGGTTGTCTGCTCCGCACCTTAATATTACACTTGACAGCACAGCTTTTTACGCTTGTCTGCTCTGCTCGCACACGCAGCAATTTTTCATTTCACATCGTTTAAACATTTACTTTCATGCCATTGCTGCTTTAACCAGCTGAGTAAACTCCTCTCTTAAAGGAGGCGCATGACCCCTACTCCTTTCCTTTCTACAAGTTGATGCAATATCTTGAGGTCTTAATGAAATGTCTGTGAAATGTTTTAGACTGAATACAACAGGATTACAATGCCAAAGCCCTCTTTAAACTGACTCTAGACTCATTTTCACAGGAGCTGTTTAGGGTGGGGGTGCAGCGAGACTCTTGACTTTACTTTTTTAGTCACTTTGTGGGGTTGGTGAAATGGCTGTGTTCACTCAAATCACACACACGGACACACATGCACACACATGCACGCACACACACATGCATGCACACACACACACACACACACACACACACACACACACACGTATAGCTATGTATACATATTTACATGCCTACTCAACCAGTGTGCATTATTCTGAAATTAATTTAAGTCGTTTGAATTCAACTTTCAAAATTATTTTTTTTTCTCCTTTATTTTGGAAAATATTTAGTTCTTTCTTTCTTTCTTTCTTGCCAAGATTTGCATGACCTGTTATGGGAAGGTGCATATGAATAACGAGTTTTTTAATACATTTGTACTAATAACATGTTTCTTATCTATTTACTTCCTTACAAAATTAAAGTTAAAGTCCCATTAGTTGTCACACACACAGGTGTGTGTGCGAAATTTATTCTCCGCATTTGACCCATCCCCTGGGGGAGCGGTGAGCTGCAGACAAGCCGCGCTCGGGAACTATTTGGTGGTTTAACCCCCCCAATCCAACCCCTTAAAGCGGAGTGTCAAGCAGGGAGGCATCGGGTCCCATTTTTTCAAAGTCTTTGGTATGACCCGACCAGGAGTCGAACCCTGATCTCCCGATCTCAGGGCGGACGCTCTACCACTAGATGATGGTTCATGGGCAGATAAATAAAACAATAATGGTTTATTTGAAACAAAATAATAATAAATATTTTTAAAAAATTCTAATTTTGCATCACATTCCTGTTTTTTACATGAACAACTATTACGTCCCCGGCTCTCTAGGAGAGATGAGGATAGGGGAGTAATAAAATTGGTGTGTGGGTGAAATAATAACAATGGTTTGTGTCTTTAATTTTTTTAAAGAAACATACATAATTTTTTTAAAAGTACCACAAACAGAAAAAATACATATCATCCCATCTGTGTTTGAAAAGGAGTAGGCTGAAGTGGAAACTTATATATCCCTACCCCTTTATACAAGTCATTTTACTTGTTTACTTAAATCTAACACAAAACTAACTTTTTAAAATAACAAAGGATTTTATTACAAAACAGTATTTACAACATTAAAAGGAATATCTATATACAAAAAAAAGGAGCTATCTACAAAAAGAAGGGGAGAACGGAAAACGCCAACCCAGAAGGGGTAAGGGATAAACCGAAGAAAAATACGAATAATAAGAGCAGTCCTGGGAAGCAGGAAAGCTCAAGCAGATCCAAAGTCAAATTCTAAAGCCGGTCCGAAGTCAAATTACCAAAAGTCTATCCTAATTCCAAATTTCCAAACGCGAGTCAAATACCAAAGTCGAAACGAGAGAAATACTAAGTAAGAGCACACGAGGAGAAGAGAATAGTATAAACTCAAACGAGTCTACGCCACCCTGGACCTTCTCAAAGAACTGTGGGCAGGAGAACAGCTTTTAACAGCTGTCCAGTGATTAGTGATTACAAACAGCTGGGCACCGCGAGACTGTCGAGGCAGAAGCCACTGAGGCCATCTTGTGGCTTAAAAGGGGCACAGCATGTAACCCCCACCCCCCCCCCCTTAAGAGAATGATTGGGGGTCTTCAAAAGGGGCCAACACTTATTCCAAAGGAAAACGAGGTCTCCCCCTATCTATACACACACAAAAAACTAACTAACTCACCCTAGTCTTCATGGAACACAGAAGGTGGGCTGATTAAAAACAAATTATCGTGCTGTGCCGATCCCCAGCACTGCGCAGTGTCCCCGAGAAGTCTGCTGACGCAGACAACACTAGCCTTCATCGGATCCAGCACTAACAAACAAAAAGAACCCCCACCCAAAGGGGTGGCGATCACAAGCCTACAAGGGAGCCTCATGATTAAAACTGCGTGACAGAGTGGCCGCGATGAGGTTGACAGAGCCCTTCTTGTGGCGAATCTCCAGGTTGACTTCCTGGAGCAGGAGGGCCCACCGCATCAGCCACTGGCCAGTCTAGAGGATTGTGTCTGAAAAAAAGAATAGGAGTAAATGAATTGTTTTTAACTCAGACAGGGAAATGTTGCAGAGCCTATCAGAGGGCTACAGTTTTCCTTTCGAAGGTTGAATAGTTCAGTTGTGCGCGGTTGAACTTCCGAGAGAAGCAGCATACTGGATGATCAAGCCCGGTGTCATCCCCCCTGGATGAGGACAGCTCCAGCCCCTGCTTTTGCTCCAGCTGAAAAGGTCGAGTGAGATCTGGAGCAGCTAACACAGGAGCACAACATAGTAAGTTTTCTTTTTCCAGAAACACAGAGACAGTTTGGAGCCCGGCCTGGGGTTGGGGCCCGTGAGCGAGCGCCTGGTGGCCGGGCTTTCACCTATGGGGCCCGGCCGGGCCCAGCCCGAACCAGATACATGGGCTCATCCATTTGTGGACACACCACCCGCAGGAGGAACATGAAGGGTCCGGTGCAATGTGGATCGGGTGGCAGACCAAGGCGGGAGCCTTGGCGGTCCGATCCCCGGACAAGAAAACTAGTTTTTGGGACATGGAACGTCACCTCGCTGGCGGGGAAGGAGCAGGAGCTTGTGGCAGAGGTTGAGCGGTACCGGCTAGATATAGTCGGACTCACCTCGACACATAGCATTGGCTCTGGAATCCAAGTCCTTGAGAGGGGTTGGACACTCTCCTTTGCTGGAGTTGCTCCGGGTGAGAGGCGGAGGGCTGGGGTTGGCTTTTTGAATTCCCGAGACTCTCTGCCTGTGTGTTGGGGTTTACCCCGTGGGACGAGAGGGTAGCTTCCCTGCGCCTTCGGGTCGGGGAACGGGTCCTGACTGTTGTTTGTGCTTATGGGCCAAATATCAGTTCAGAGTACCCACCCTTTTTGGAGTCCCTGGGACGAGTGCTAGATAGTGCTCCATCAGGGGACTCCATTGTCCTGCTGGGGGACTTCAATGCTCACGTGGGCAATGACAGCATGACCTGGAGGGGTGTGATTGGGAGGAACGGCCCGCCTGATCTGAACTCGAGTGGTGTTTCGTTATTGGACTTCTGTGCAAGCCGCAGTTTGGCCCTTTGACCCCATTGCTCCAGAAAAGCTAAAAATTACCCCTGGCAAACAAAAAGCTCCATGGAGGTTCACTAAATCAGTTACAAACCAAACAAAAGAGAGAATACCGCAAAGCTGAGCGTAAATGGAGGAAAAGTAACCTTCCTGATAACTATCAGTCTTACAAACAGCAGTTGAGTACTTATAACTTTGAATCAAATAAGGTACGACAAGCCTTTTTCTCTAAAGTGATCAATAACAGCATTGACATTTCTAGTGTTCTGTTTGCCACTGTCGAGAGGCTAACTGCAACCAACACAGTTGGCTCCTGATTTCATATCCCTATCTAAGAGAAAATGAGATAATCTTAAACTTCAGATTAGCCTTTCACTCCTCCATGTCACCAATACAACCAGACCACTGCTACAGCCACACAACAACTCTCTGGCTAGAACGCCAGTTTTCAAAATGACGAATGCCAAAACACTAGAGGACATAGATAAGAGCTTAAACTCATCTACCTGTTGTCTTGATACACTGCCAACTAACTTATTTAAACACATATTTAATTGTATATAAGCTGATATACTGAAAACTGTTGATTGCTTCCTAATGTCAGGTATTTTTCTTAATTCACTGAAAAATGCTGCTGTTAAGCCTCCTCTGAGCAAAAGTAAACTAGATCCCTTAGTGATGAATAATTACAGACCAATTTCTAATCTGCCCTTCATTGGGAATATTATTGAAAAAGCAGTTACGATCCAGCTGAACAACTTCTTGGAGACAAACGTCCTGGATGGATTTCAGTCAGGCTTTAGACAACACCACAGCACAGACTGCACTGATTAAAGTTTTAAATGATATCCGGCAAAACATCTGTTTTGGTGACGCTCAGTCTCAGTGCAGCTTTTGATACTGTGGACCACAACATCCTTTTTGATAGATTAATGGACTTGGTGGGACTGTCAGGCACAGTCCGTAGTTGGTTCCAGTCATACCTCGCAGACAGGAGTTGTGTTGTTTCCATTGGTGAACACAAATCAAAGCAAGTCGCCGTGACACGCGGTGTCCCCCAAGGCTCGATTCTTGGACTACTGCTTTTCAATCTCTACATGCTCCCACTGGGCCAGGTCACAAACAATAACAACATCACCTATCATAGTTATGCAGATAGTTCTATCGCCTAGTGAATGTGGTCCCCTAGACTCACTCTGTCAGTGCCTAGAGGGGGTTAACGATTGGATTAAATCAAGTTTGTTTCACTTAAAGACTAGATGGAAGTTATTGTCTTTGGAAATAAGGACAGGATGGAAGCTATTTCTCAACTTACCTCCAAAGGAAAAGACAAATACCCAGATTATAAATCTGAGTGTTATGATTGACTCAGACCTGAGCTACACTGGCCACATTAAATATATAACTACATATTTGTTTTATCATCTCCATAAATTAGCAATACTCCGAGGTCTCATGTCCAAACAAGACCTAGAGAAACAAATTAATGTGCATCTCCAGCAGGCTGGTAGCCTAGTGAACTCGACCAAATTCTTGCTTTGCAAAGTTTGGTCTAGGAACGCTCCATTGGAACCTCAGCAGCTCCTACCAGGACTCTGGCTAGCCAATCACAGCTCTCTAGAGGGGTTTCAAACACATAAAGAGCTGTGATTGGTCCAAAATGGTGGGCCAATCATAGTGCTCTATCTGCTTAGTGAACAAATCACAGAGCTTTATCCGCTTTGTGGGCCAATCAGGGCACTCTATATGCCTGGTGGGTGGGATGATGCAACAGAGTGAAACAAGAGTATGTCACATTCATTGTCCAGTAGGATGCGGAGATCATTTGAAAGACAACGGTAGAACCCGCCCCACAACCGAGAGCCGTCAATGGAGCGTTGCCAGACTAAATAATACATTTATTTAGTCTGGCTTGCCAGGCTAGCAGGCTGGGCCATTGCAATGGTCTTCTAGCTGGTCTTCCCAAAACAGCTGTAAAACAATGCAGCTTGTTCAGATGCTGCTGCTAGAGTCTTAACAAGAACCAAAAGAACCAAGCACATCACTCCTGTTCTTTAATCTCTACACTGGTTACCAGTAAACTACAGAATCGACTTCAAAGTGTGTTTACTAGTCTAAATAAATCATTCAATCACACGGGCCAGAATACATGTTGGATCTCCTTCCTGTATATACACCCAGCAGGGCTCTCAGATCCTTAGGAAACAGTCAGCTGGAAGAACCTCGGGTCAGAACGAAACAGGGTGACGCTGCTTTTAGTCAGTATGCTGCACACAGATGGAATCAGCTTCCTCACAACCTCAAATGTGCCCCAACTCTAGAAACTTTTAAAGCAAAATTAAAAAGCTTCATGTATTCATCAGCCTTTGAATAAAATGTCATACTGCACTTCCTGCACTGTAACTGCTGCCCTCTTGACTATGCCTTTTATGTGTTTGTTAAATCTGAATTTAATATCTTTGTTTGATTGACTGTGTTTGCTGTTCTTGCTTCTGTAAATCACTTAAAAAGGTGTTAGCCGCTCCTTTAACTGCTATTCCTGTTTAAACTGCCACTGATGGAGGAGTGTTAGTGCTGTTATCCGGAGGCATTTTTGTCCTCTAGCAGGGTCACCCATGGCAAATAGGTTCTAGGTGATGGATGAGACCATTCAAGGTTGAAGAGAGGCATTTTATGAGAACCCAGCTCTAGGTTATCATGGTCAACATGAATAATTGTTGTAAATCATTGTGAATTCATCACTAAATGGTCTTGATTCTAGTTTTTTTTCCTCCATTATTGAGCTTTCTAATTTTACCTGGATTCATGTTGTAAGTCCACTGATGAGTAATATGAAGGTAGCTGCTCACTTAAAGTTCCTTTCAGCTTCAGCAGAGGTCATTAACTGAGAAAAAGAACAAAAACAAAGCTGCAGCTGTTTTTCTTTTTCCTTCACTTCATAGTTTTAATGACTAGAGCAAGAAAAGGGTTGTGGTCATTACTTTTTTTACAATTTTTACTTGACTTGGTGCTCATATTAAACTACTCATGAAGCTTAGCTACCCAGCATCTCTGCAGGAATTCTGAATCCCCTTTTCGACTCATTTTGCAAACTCATTGAACTTGACTTGGTGCAAAAGGCATTTTTATTAGCAGGCACATGTACTTTTTGTGAAGGATTTTGTTTGTGCATCTCATGAAGGCTAACGTCATGTGAATCTGCCTCGTGCCAGCTCACTGCTGACCCTTTGCACAGATAATAAAAATAAAGGAAATAATGTTTTTATTCCCTGAAATAGAGATTTTCCAGGAATGTACTTAAACCCCTGTAGCTGTAAGTCATCAGTCCCTCATTTCATGCATTTTCTGAACCAGTTTTCAGCAGGGTCGCAGGGAACTGGTGCCTATCTCCTGTGGTCAATGTGTGAGTGAGGGACTGTATTGGGCAATGGTGACTCAGGGGTTAAGAATTTGCCCTGTAATTGGTGGGTTGCTGGTTCAAACCCCAGCTCTGTTCATGTCAGTTGTGTCCTTGGTCAAGACCTTTTACCCTCTTTACCTGCTGGTGGTGTTTGGAGAGACAAGTGGTGGGTAAAAATTCATAAAATCCAAAAGGAGTGAGGCCCACCCAAAAATCGGTCTGATGACGTCCATGAATCACTCTAACAAGCCTGTTGTGGTCTGTGAGAGGAGGCTGGAGAACCTGGGGAAAACTACACCTGTATAAGGACGACGTGCTCTAACTCATGAACGCATAAAACCACCGCTGGGATTCGCACCTATGACCTTCTAGCTGTGAAGCAACAGTAATACCTACTGCTATATTCTGTTATTTTTACTTTAACTCTTGTCCACTTTCCTAAAACAAGTCCAGAAATTGGTTTAGTTTTCATTTTTGAAATAAACTTTATCTTTCACTCACCAGTCCTACTGTGCTTTATTCCCATTGCCCAGGTCTCCTCCTAGACCGAGCCCTGGAAGTCTGCACTACTCAGATGAGGATGTCAGTACTAAGTATAATGACCTGATTCCAGCAGAGAGCAGCAGCCTGACTGAAAAACCCTCTGAGATATCAGACTCTCAGGTAAGCAGTGGCTCTGGCTTACAGCCGATACCAAAGGGCTTTGCAAAAAGACTAAATAAATTAGACCAAAGAAAACCAAAGAAATGTATATTTTATTCGACTTTGTTTAACATTTTTTCATCCACTGACTTTCCTTCCTCTCCGTGTCCAATCTTTTTGTCATAATCACCACTTTGCTGTATTTGAAAATGCAACTGTGCAATAATCACGAGGCAGCATTTCAGGCGGTAAATTAACATTTTGCTTTAGATAATCTGCCTCAGGTGGGTCATCTAAAACCCGACGTCCTCTGTTAGAACTGCACCGCCTCCTCAACAGGGGAAGAGGCTTCTCATTCTCCATGTGTGTGTGTGCCATAATTATCAAATCTAATTGGTTAATCAAAGGGTCGCTGCTCATTGAGTGGTGTCAACAATAAGTAAATCACATAAGGATGAGTTGGAAAAGCAGGTTGTAATGCCTTCCGCCATCCATCACCCTCGCGTGGGGACGTTCATCTGGTGGCTGCTCAGTGAGAACATTTCTCAGGCTGGTTTGAACAAACAGTGATCTCCCTGGAGACACAACCTGGTGTTATTCTTTTCCTCTGCTTTGCTGCCATTTACCTGCTACTTGTCCAAATAAATGGTGCTTCAACATCTGCTGAGCTGTACTATCTCAATAGACCGGCAAATGACTAAGCAGTTGTCAGGCACGCATTGTGCCAAGAGCCGAATGTTTTCTCAGAGAGTAACCTTCTACTGTTTCCTTTTCCTACCTTTTCTCATTTGGGTTTGTGAGCGCGTACAATTCAGTGAACCAGCAGGATGCACCCACACAATCATTCACATCATACTTCTGAATACATGAAAAACAAACTAATCTTGTAAATAATCGTTTTGTTCAATTCTAGGACACTCTTGTGTATACGTATCATATTTGTGCTCCACAGAGGTACGGGTGAGCGCCCACAGTGTGTCTGACAGACTCTCAGTAGAAGTGATTATCTCCCCTATAGAGAGCGTCAGGCATTAATAGCTTTAGAGTTGTGAGTCGAGGTTTCCTGCTGTGTTATATGACTCAAGTGCTGTGTGGTTTATCAATGAGAAACTCAAACAGTAGAAATAGTGTCTAGCCTTGATTTGAGAGTGTGAAAACGCAGCTATCATCACCTTTTAAGTGACTTCTGTTCAACTCACAGGGCAGCGACAGCGAATACGAAGTGGATCAGAGCCGGCAGAAGACCCACTCCTTTGTCAACCACTACATCAGTGACCCCACCTACTACAACTCGTGGCGGCGGCAGCAGAAAGGCGTCTCTCGTCCACCTGCGTATGGCTTCTCGCAGCCCGAGCCCTTGGTGGAGCAGGAGTCCCGGCAGCACCCGCCACCCGTTCCACCTCTTCCCCCACTCCTCCCCCAAAGTTCGCCGTCCCCACAGCCCCAGGCCCAGGGCACTTTGTTCAGGCCAAAGGGTAGCCGGACTCCTACTCCCTCCCTGCTGTCCTCTGAACCTCCCAGCCAGCACAGCACTCTGTACCGGCCCCCCAGCAGCCTGGGCTGTGCCGCTCAGGCACCTACCGCAGGCTTCTCCTCCTTTGTTTGACACACAGCTCTCCTTCCACCAGCAGGACCATGAAGAGGAGTCTTGATTTTGGTTTTTCTTGGATTCTCGACATATTTTGCTCTCCTTTTTTCTCGACAGTTGTTCCTTCACAACAAATGAGATGTTGCTCAGTCTGTAAGCATCTCAGAGATCTTAAACAGTGTTTTTTCCTCTGTGAAGAGAGTGTGTGTGTGTGTGTGCGTGTGCGTGTGTGTGTGTGTGTGTGTGTGTGTGTGTGTGTGTGTGTGTGTGTGCTAGTCTATACATCAAAGTGAGGACCAAAACAAGTTTTTTACCTGCAAACTGAGGACATTAGTAGCAAAGTGAGGACATTTGATCCTCACTTTGGGACAAAGTGGTTAGCTTTAGAGGTATGGTGTGAATTAAGTTTTAGTTAAGGCTAGGGTCAGGAGTAAACTGGTTATGGTTAGAGTTAGTTACGTTTAGGCACAATCCATTCACTAAAATGAATGGAAGTCAATGACGGTCCTCACAACGAATGCTACACTAGAGTGTGTGTGTGTGTGTGTGTGTTTGGTTGTTTAATCGCTGTAATCTATATTCCATGAAAAGACAATCATCTGAAGAGTTTTATGCTTAGGTGAATTAATTTGATGGATGTAAACAAGGAAGATCAGAACTGAAAGTCCAGAAAAAAGAAGTCCTTGTTATAGAAATGTGTGTATTATTGTTCATGATGAGAGCTTTATGAAAAACAACCACCTTAGATCCACAGCGAGTACGGACCATTTGGCTTGCAGAGACTGGACTGGAAAAACCAAACAAAAGAAAAACCAGACTTGAAGGACAGTTTGAAACGGAGGAATGGACTCTGCCTTCGAGTCCTCCACTGGAGCTGCAGTACGTGTTTACTATATGTACTTGTCTCATATTGTTTACCAGATATTTATACCAATCAGCTTCAAGCTCAGAATTTCCCGAACATCACTAGTGACATTGTTATGAATCACATTAAAGCATTGTGGCACCTTTACAGTAGACTGAGGATGTTGATTGTGAGCCGACAAACCAGCTTTCATGATGTGTGATGTTCTGTAATCTCTTTTGGGCGAAACGAGGACCAAATGCACAAATCGTCTAGGTTCAAATCATAGCATCACATCACAGCTACACTTTATGTGTCATATGAAACAGTCAAAACAGTACAAAAATCATTATTTTAGAGACGTGCAAATGTCTACCCAAAGTTTCACATCAATAGCTTAGCTTAAAGCTCTATTTTTTCCCTCATATCTACTTTTTTATGCAATTTTTTTAGTAGAAAATTGTCCTGGAAAGACAACCTTAAGCTTTTGTCTCTTGTAAACACAAAGACACTAAAACCACAACAGCTTGTACAGTTACAGCCACGGCTTGATCCAGTATAATGTTGCTTAAAATATTTTTATGGGGAAAAAAACAACTGATCACAAGTTTTTTTGTCAAATGCGTAAATGCAGACTGTCATGATATATATGTATGTGTGTGCGTGCATGTGTGTGTTTAAAATGTGTATCAAGGCGGTAATCTGATTTCTAGAAATGTGTTTTCTTTTGCTCTGAGGAAAAATATTCATGCAGTTTTGTTTTTTTGCAACACTTTTGCACATGCTGGTTCATCACTAACGTTCCATGGGACATTGCTGTGCTGGAATTGAACCCAAAGTGAATAAAACAGTCTTGAAATTTAGTCTAACAAATGTGCAGTGTGAACATGCATGCAATGAGGGGAAATGATGATTGTTTCATGGTAGCTCTCTAAAATATGCATTTAATGGGGACTTTTCTTCATTAATCATCAGAACATTTTTAATGTGATGGAATATTTCAGCATTCATTGGCAAATTAGTCAGGGGATTTATGATGCTGACATATGAGAGGATTAGAAGAGCTTTACAGCTGTTGCATAAACAATGATTTCAAAGAAAACAGAAATCATATCAGGCGTTGCAGACAACAGTTTTGCAGGGTCAGTCCTCGGTGGACCTTAATGCGTGGTTGGGGAGTATAACATGGTTTCTGACACTGGATCCCATGGTGCAGGAATGACCTAATTCTTCAGCAACAGCAAAGACACCATTTAAATGCACAAGAGCACAAGTTCAAGGGAGGAATTTGAAGATCGGGTGCAAGCATGCTGAAGACTGGGAGAAGGAGAGGCAGGTGCTGGGATAATCTCCTTATTTCAGACCAGGAGACATTGATTTCATACATGACAAGGGGCGGTCATGCAGATGGGGAGGAGGATAAGAAAATGCTTTGAAGATGATTGTTTTTTTTTACAAATATATCTTTTCAGTGACATATCAAGTGACCTGTGTCACATACCAGACAAACTCAGAAGCTCCTTTTTGCAAACTAAATATTACATTTGTGGCATTTTCTTTTTTCTGGAGCTTAAATGTTTTCTAATTCTTTCACCAAACACCCATAACCTTTCATCTTTTGAGAACGACAGAAATGTGTAGCTCACTCACACCCTGGCCCCGCTAAGACACTCAGAGGAAGCTTCACATCAACGAGTCTGTCACATTTTTGTTTTTCCTTTCAATGTCTCCTTGTGGGATCTGCTTAATGCGTCCTAATTCTGACTGGGCTTGATGGAAAGCATCAGAGCCCGTTTTTCTACCATGGCCAACTCTTCTTGACTGGTGACTAAAATAAGGACACAATCACAGAAAAGTCAATGTTTATGTTATTTTGCTCATAGGACAGAGATATTGACTTTCAATGCTAGTGCGGTTGATCAAATAACAATAATGTGTATCTTCTGAAGTTATTATAACAAGTTTTATACAATTTCATGATTTTGGCAGAAAAGCTGATCACTTTTTGTCTCATTCTGATCATTCTGTACTTGAATGATAATATCAAAAACTGTGTTTTACTGGTGCTAACTGTTCCCAGGAGTAAAGGAGATTCCCTCAATGTGATAAATGTGGCTTTAGAGGTAAGTACCTCTAAAACTCAAATACAAGAAAAGTTTGGTTTGAATGTATGTTTAACAGTTGATGTGAAAGGTAAAGTAGAGAAAAGTCAAGTACATAAAAAGCACTTTTCATATCATTTATTATTACTACTACTACTATTATTATTATTATTAGTAGTAGTAGTAGTAGTAGTAGTAGTAATAGTAGTAATAATAATAATAATAATAATAAACTTTATTGGCATAGCACATTCAAACACAGTGTTTCCAGTTTCCAGTCAGGTTTTCGTAGAGCTCATTCTACTGAAACAGCTCTTCTTAGGGTCTCTAATGACCTTCTGACTCTCAGTGATGCAGGGGACTGTTCTGTTCTGGTCCTGCTGGACCTGACTGCAGCCTTTGACACTGTCGACCATCACCTGCTACTGGAGAGGAAGACTGGGTAGGCCTATCAGTAACTGCTCTGGAGTGGTTCTCCTCTTATCTGTGGCCGTCACCAAGTTTAGGTCCTCCACCACCTCCCTCACCCATGGTGTCCCACAAGGTTCTGTGCTGGGGCCTCTGCTCTTCCTCCTCTATCTGCTTCCTCTTCAGCACATCCTGAGCTCATTCAAATGAATCTCCTACCATCTTTATGCAGATGACATCCAACTGTACATCTCCTTTAAGCCCCATGAGATGTCTAAGCTGCAGCTGTTACACACCTGCTTAGACTCTATCAAAACCTGGATGGTGGGAGCGTTCTTCAGCTGAATGAAGATAAGACTGAGACTCTCTTGGTCAGCTTGCTTCTCACACCAAACCTTCTGTCAGGAATCTTGGCGTGACCTTTGACCCAGCTCTCACCCTGGATTCTCATGTCAGTTCTCTTGTTCGCTCTTCCTTCTTCCATCTTAGGAACATTGCTTAGCTGAGTCCCATTCTGTCCCGCTCTGAACTCAGTGCAGACACTGAGTCACGCACCAATTTAGCCGGGAAGCAGTCCACCGAAGAGCCAGCTGGCTTCATGGAGCTAATCAGTTTAATCAAGTCAGCAAGCTGAACTGGAGCAAAGTCTGAGAAGGCAGGTAGGTCCGGCGGTTCCACATGGATAGTATGTGTTTTAGGCTGGAGGCTAAGCCTAATACCAAGGATCTTGTTAAGGAAACAGCTCTGTAGCTCTCTGCATAAAGCAACAGTGGGATTTAGACCATCAGACTCATTTAACAGTAGCAGGGAGTTGATTGTGCTGTACAGCCTGGAATGGTCTCCATGATGCTGTGAAATGATAGCAGAAAAATAGTTATTACGAGCAGATCTAACTGCTCTCTGGTAGCGTGAAAGTGCATCAACCAGGAGCAGCCGGGAGTATGACAGTCTATCGCTCTTCCACCTCTGTTCCAGCACCCTACAATGTCGCCTGAGGCTACGAGTGTAATCATTCAGCCAAGGGTCGGATGTTGTCTGTTTCCGCCTTGGTCTCAGAGGGGCAACATGATATACTCACTGCTATGGATGTCAGTCAAGGCAGTCCACCACACACTGTCGAAGAAGATGCAAATACATCCTTTATCTAAATAAAAAACTTCTATCTGCTCTTAGCTGGAAGGTTTAAATAGGGGGAGATATTCAAGTGGGTGAGACAGATACAAGAAGAAAAAGAACAAATGGCAGCATCTTAAAAACGGAAAGTGGACAGTGAAAATCGATCATCTAATCTGGAGTGGAAGGAGTAATTTCTCTTTGTTCTTCCCACTGATGGCAGAAAACCTGTTTGTCTCAAATGTTCAGAAACTGTGGCACTTACAAAATTAAAAGTGGCAATGTGAAACGCCATTAAGAGAGAAAGCGGTAAAGTTTTGAATGAACATACCACCTCAGATCATATGTAAGATCAGAGAAAATGTGTTGTCTCAATGCCCAGTGTGACCAGTCCACCAGGATCCTGGAGCACACAGTCACTGCTCAGCAACAAGCTGATGAGTGATACATTTCTTGGATTTTGGCTCAGCACAAAAAGCCATTTACTGATGGAGAGGTTGTCAAAGAATGTATGACTGCAGCTGCTAAAACACTTCTTGAAAGAAAAGACTCAGAATGTTTTAGCCCTGCTAGATGAAGCCTTACAGAAGGCACCATGTGTAGGTTTAGCTGTGGAAGAGTCCGTTGACAAACGTGATAATTCTCAGCTGTTAGTATACTGTGTGGCAAAAAAGCATTTAGTCAGCCATCAATTGTGCAAGTTCTCCCACTTAAAAATATGAGACAGGTCTGTAATTTTCATCATAGGTATACCTCACCTATATGAGACAACATTAGAAAAAAAAATCCCAGACAATCAAATTGTCTGGCTTTCTAAGAATTAATTTGCAAATTATGATAGAAAATAAGTATTTGGTTTTCTACAACAAGCAATATTTCTGGCTCTCACACACCTGCTAGTTATTCTGTAAAACACTCCTCTGTCTTCCACTTGCCACCTGTATAAATGGCACCCCTTGGAAGTCATTATCAGTATTAAAGATGCCGGTCCACAACCTCAAACGAGTCTGGCTCCAAACTCCATATGACTAAGACCAAAGACACTAGAAACTGTCAAAAGCACACCGGAAACAGAATTGTAGACTTGCACCAGACTGGGGAGACTGAATCTGCAATAGGTAAGCAGCTTGGCATGAAGAAATCAACTGTGTGAGCAATAATTAGAAAATGGAAGACATACAAGACCACTGATAATCTCCCTCTATCAGGGGCTCCATGCAAGATCTCACCCCGTGGGGTCAAAACGATCACAAGAACGGTGAGCAAAAACCCCAGACCAACAGGGGGGAACTTGTGAATGACCTGCAGAGAAAGCTGCCATCAATAACACACCAGTGACTCTAATCCTGACCCCTGCTTAAGCTAGTACATGTGCAGACCCATCTGAAGTTTGCTAGAGAGCATTTGGATAATCCAGAAGAGGACTGGGAGAATGTCACATGGTCAGATGAAATCAAAGTAGAACTTTTGGATACAAACTCTACTCATTATGTTCGGAAGAGGAAGAATGCTCATTTGCATCCAAAGAACACCATTAAGAAGCACGGGGTGGAAACATCCTGCTTTGGGACTGTTTTTCTGCAAAGGGACCAGGACGACAGATCTGTGTAAGGGCAACAATGAATGGAGCCATGTATCATCACATTTCTAGTGAAAATCCGCTTCCATCAGCAAGGAAAACTTCTGACCTTGATTATTGCCAACAATGGATATATAACAAAGTATTGATATGGACTGTTGTTATTGACCAAATACCTATTTTCCATAATAATTAGCTAATACATTTTTTTAAATCAGAAGTATTTCAATTGCACTGAATTTGTTTGATTTGATAGCCAAATCAATGCAGATGTTGACAGGACTGCAACAATGCTGACATACAATTCACACTAAATTGTAGGACATTATGTACTTTCAGAGCTTTGCCTCAAAACATCTTCTTTGACTGGATCTCTATAAACTTGATTTGAATATCCCTTTTCTAGAAAAATGTGCAGCTCCCACCAAGTGCTCTGACTTCCATGTTTGGCTTTTTGGACATGCTATCCACCTTATTTTTCCCTTTCCTTATGGAGAAACAATGATGTAAGACACATCTGGTGAGATGTTTTAAGTAGCACACACCCACTGGTTTCATTTTCATGTTTTGTTGCTAGTACCTGTTTATTTGGACATTTGAAGAGGATTTAAAAATGATTTACCCCTGAAAAATGTACTTGTGTGGCTTGGGTAAATGGCAT